CAGTTCCAGGGGTCTTCTTCTGCCTCTGAAGGCACTAGACACAAATGTGCTGTGCACACACACACCACACAGCCAAAACACCCATATCCATGGACAGTAAAATACTATTAGAAAGCAAAAACAATAAAATAATTTCTCAAAAAAATGCACAGAAATATTCACTTAAAAAAAAAAAAAGGCCTACTGGGCTGGAGAGATGATTCAGTGTATACTTGCTCTAGCAGAGTTTGGTTTCCAGCACCTACATCCACGTGCTTAAAGCACCTGTAATTCCAGACCCAGGGGATTTGACACCTCTTGGCCTCCACAGGTACCTGTCTTCCTATGTATCCCCTCCACACACATACTCAAAAATTTTTAAATATGTTTTTTCTGTACATATCGGTAAGTTATCTGATTCAATTTAATTAATTTTAATTATTTTGCATTCTGGGGCTTGAACCCCTTGCACAGGCTAGGCGCACACAGTGTCACCGAACTACCTGTTTCGGTTACTGGTTCATTGCTGCCATGATGCACTGTGACCAAGGCAACTTGTCAAAGGAAGCAGTTACTTGAGGGCTTGCTCACGGTTTCAGAGGGTGAGTCCGTGACCGTCGTGGCGAGGAACATGGCAGCAGGCGGGCAGGCATGGCCCGGGAGAGGTAGCTGAGAGCTTGCAGGCTGAAATAACACTACAAGGTGGGGCGGGGGTGGGGGGAGGAGGGCAGGAAGGAAGAGAGGGAGGGAGGGAGAGTATAAGCTATGCGGAAATTGCATGGGCTTTTGAAACCTCCAAGTCTGTGCCCAGTGACACATCTCTTCCAACAAGGCCACAACTCCTAATCGTTCCCAAACATGTAAGACTACGGGGTCCATTTGGACCACCGCGCTACCCCTAGTCAACGTACCTTACTTTTTACAAGTTAAAAAATTCTCAAGTATATTTGTGTGGCGTGTGCTCATGCGCATATGTATGTATGATGCTGGGATCAGGTCTTGCTCTAAGTTACACCCTGTTGTGTGAAAACAGTGGGTTTTCAAATTGAGCTTTGTTCTGAAAAGGCTCCATTTGCAAGCAGCTTTTGACTTGGCTTTCCAGATGGAGGGTGGCAGAGCCACTGGGTGAACACACGGACGGACGGCACCATTTGCCCCATGTGGATGATGTGGAACAGACTGATTAATGATGTGTCCTTGAGAGTGGAAAGCGTGCTACCCTATATGTTTATTGGGGGTAAAATTAGGATTGGCATTTGGACATAAAATCACATAGGGAGACCAGGCAAAAGTATCAGACACACTAGGCCAGGGGAAGGGGGTAACTCCCTCACCTGGACCCCCAAAGAGGGAAACAGTTAGCCCTGTGGTGCCAACCACACCCACCAACGTGTTATCTTGAGGGACTAGTTCTCTGATAGGCAGACTGACAGGGAGAGGGGCCATGACTCACTAATAAAGACGGAGAACTTCCATTTTGACTTGCTTCCTCCTTTCCCTCTGGATCTGAGACAAAAGCCTGAAACACAGGCCTTGTAGGCTCCTTCTCCTGCCAGTGGGGCCCCCTGCTGATGGAATGGGTCAACAAATTCCCTGTGTTGTCAGGACATGTTGACACAGCAGTTGTGGGCCAAGCAGCCGACCTGTCTTTCCTCAAACTGACAAGCCCTAAATTAGGGTAGGAAGACCCTTCAAGGACTTTAAAAACTCCCAGCCTCCAAAGAGAGGCTGAACTTTCTTTATCACATGTTGTGTTTACTCACTCCGAAGAAAAGCATCTCTTCAGCTGCTAATTCTGTCTGCTGGTCAGCTCCCCACCACTGCCCAGGCTGATGTTGAACCACCCTAACCCCCTCAAGCCTTCCGTGGCTTTCACTTTCTCTTCTGCTCTTTCTGGTGTAGACAATTGTCCTGGTAATAGGGTGGATAAAAAAGCTTTACTTGTAACAAATTGGTAGAGTTGTAAGACTGGGATTCTTATCCTTAAAAAGACATCTTCCTTAGAGGTTTCGGTGCAAGGCTTTTATATGGATTTCTGTGGTGAGCCAGATTGGCGAGGAGGCGGGTCAGATGGAGGGCATCCAGACAGCCTCAGGCAGCTGATGCCATGCTTCCCTGTGCTAGCCCTGTTCTCTGCAAACCTCAGGGGTGTTCCAGGGGCTACAAACCTAAAGAAAGGTTACAAACGGGGAAGTCTGATGACTGTATTTTCAGTTTCTTTTCCCAGAGTCGATTCCACTGTAAATCACGAGGATACAAAGAACAGGAAGATTGTGGAGAGCAATAGAAGCCTGGAGACGGGGAAAGACACCCAAGGCAACTTCCCCTGAACCCGAGAGTCCGTGACCATTCCACACAACAGGTTTTCGTTGTTTTGGAGGCAGGGTCTTGCTGTGTATCTCAGGCTGACCCCCAAGCTTGCTGTGAAGCTGAGGAGCTCCCGCCTGGAATCTCCAGCACGTGCCACCAGGTGCTGTCGTAACAGTTTTAACCCATTAGATGTGTTTTACTCTGAGGTTCCATCTACAACAAAGCTAGAGGGAGATTGATGATAAACCCCTCAGCCATGTTACCTCCAAAATTAATAATTAATAATCTCTTCTCTGTGTAGCCTTGGCTATCCTGGACTCACTTTGTAAGACCAGGCTGGCCTCAAACTCACGGCAATCCTCCTGACCCTGCCTCCAGGAGTGCTGGGATTAAAGGTGTGCGCCACCACACTCAGCTATGAAGCCCCCCCCCCCCCTTTTGGGTTTGGTTTTGTTTTTGTTTCGAGACAAGGTTTCTCTGTGTAGCCTTGGCTGTCCTGGACCCGAGGTTCTCTTTATTTTACCTATGTGGGTATTACATGCCATGAATATCTGTGCACCGTATGTGTGCTTGGTGCCCACGGAGGGCAGAAGAGGGTGTCAGATCTGCTGGAACTGGGGTGACAGACAGGTCTGAGCCACCATGCTGGTACTGAAAACCGAGTGGTCCTCTGCAAGAGCAGCAGGTAGTCTTAGCCGCTGAGCTATCTAATCCGGAGAAGTCCGTTTTCTTTAGCCATTCACCCAGTGATGAGCGTGTAGGCGAATTCCATGAGCTGGCTAAAGCGGCCTGTGCTACAGTGGATGAAGGTTTTTGCAGGACCTGCGGGCCGTCAGGTTGATCGGCGAAGTAAGTTAAACACAGAAAGGCAAATACTGCACGCCCGGAGGTGAAACAAGGACCAGACCTCTCTGGTCTGGGTGACGGCGAGATGGTCAAAGTGCAGGAAACATCTATGAGACCCATTAATTTTTGAACAAAGACTATTTTAAAGGGGGGTCGGTGGTGCAGTGGGAAGCAGGGGTGCAGACCGAGTCTCAGAGCATTTCAGTAGTTCTGTCGACAGAACGCTGAGGAGGCCAGCAACAGTGAAACTTGAACTATGAGAGGAAGGGGTGGGGCCAGTAACGGCGGAGGAGCGCTGGAGAGAAAGGAGCCAGCGGGGCCTCCAGGACTATGTTGTAATAAGCGTGTATTTGACAGTGACTCGTGTTTTCCTGGGAAATAGATCTGAGCTCCCTCCACTATCTTTCAACACCCCTGTTCTGGCCAATTGCACCTGGCCACACAAACCTTGCCCTAGAGACCCTGCCCACCTCCCCAGGGGCATAAAGAACTCCTTCCCCCAACTGAGCCAATTCTCGGAAGCCGCTCCCGGGCATGTATTCTTCGCCCAGGCAGGCACTGTCCACCGAGGCCCTGCATGGCACCCACACCCCACGTAAGCTTTCGTCCCTCCATCCCAGTATGGTGAGCAATGGGCTGGGCTGCAAAGAGACGTGGACACGGAGCAGCAGACGCTCAAGGTCTTCTTGCAGTTTTCACCTTTTAAAATCCTTCCCTCACTCCCACTTTGTGGGGGATTCCCAAGTTTGGCTCAGAGACGGTTGTCCTGCTGGCAGCAGCTTTAATGAATTTAACTAGCTATAGTCTGATTGAACCTGCGCTCTTTTCTTGAGGGTCCCAAAGTCCATAACACTACTACTAATGCTAGATAAACTCCCATATAGAGATTAAAGAAAGCAGCAGGAGCAACCAAAACAGTGAGATAAGAAGAAGGAATTTGCTGGGTGTGGTGGTACACGCCTGTAATCCCAGCACTCCGGGAGGCAGAGGCAGGTGGATCTCTCTCTGTGAGTTTGAGGCCAGCCTGGTCTACAAAGCAAGTCCAGGACAGCCAAGGCTACACAGAGAAACCCTGTCTCAGAAAGCAAACAAAAGGAAAATAAGAAAGTTAATACTAGTTTGACTTGCTTCCTTTCTAACTTCTATCTTGATGTTATTTGTAAGGAAACAGTATTTTTATTTTTTAAATTTTTTTTTATTTTTCCTTTGGATCGGAGAGTGCGCTCCCCCCCCCCCAATTTTCTGCTGGTACTCGGGAAGGAAGCACAGGGAAATAGGTTTAATAAGAGACCAAATATGCGTTCTGTAATTGGAAAAAGATAAAACCTGTAGCCTACCTAAAATCTAGTTGCAGGAGACCCAGACACGCTCTTCTGAACTCTGAAGGCACTGAATACGTGTGGGGCTCACATGACATGCAAGCAAAACATGCTTATATACTGGATAACATGAAAGTAAAAAAAAAAAAAAAAATCCTTTATTTACTGAGCAGGTGCCAGGGCATGCATGTAGCAGCTGGAGGACAACTTTGCAGAAGTTGGTTCTCTCCTTTCACTCTGTGGGTGCCAGGCACCGAACTCAGGTGGTCAAGTTTGGCAGCGAGTGCCTATACCCTCTGACCATCCCACTGCCCTGCCTCTACAGCAACCTGTATTCACTAGGCAGAAAAAAATACCGAGAAGTATGATTTTTTTTTTCAATCAAAAGCGAAGTCAGAAAAATAAAGAATTGCTCTGTGATGGCGAGCTACCTATATGGCAACTCAACGCCCCCCACCCATCACTGTATACTGTATGTGTCATAGGAAACACCCAGAAGTCCAACCTAAGGAAAGGGTAACGAGGAATGAAGAATAGCACGCAATCTGTCGTAAGGACCTAACTTTATTTAAGGCAGATAACACCTTGTAAAAGAAAAAACTCAAATGCCATTACGCACTCACACCATGTGGAATTTGCATATGCACACTCGATCAAATACAAGATACAGAACTTAACAGAAACCCTTTTTTTTTCTTCTTTGGAGTAAACTTAACTACTAGATTAGAAGATAGAAAATGATCAGTTAGTCTTAATGATAAAAGCTTGGTGAATGCTTAGAAGTAAAAGGTCTAAACTGGATTCACAAGCCAGGCCTGGGGGCATGGTGGTGTATGCCTGGAGCCCATGTCCTCGGGAGGAAGCAGATTCTGAGAGATCAGCCAAGAATATATGCAAGAACTTGGGCAGGAGGTGAGAGTTCAAGAATAGCCTTGGCTATACACAGGGAGAAGCCAATCCAGGTTCCGTGAGACCCTGTCTCAAAAAAAACCAAAACCAAGACAGAAGTAAAAATTAGCACTTCCTTTTATCAATTACGATACCCTTGGTGAGTATCTCATGTGCTCCGTACATGAGATTTCTGTTCACAGAACAGGGCGATTAATTGTACTATCATATCAGTACCTGCAGAGGAAGTACTCAGGAAGTGTTGGCTATTGTTATCCGGCCAAGTCGGTCTTATGTGTGTGCACATTTGTCTTAAGGAGGTCAAGACATGTCATGTACCATTTTGGAGAGTGGTTGGAACACAGGTCGCCAGATCACCGTCCACTGTGATTTTCCTCTGACTTGGAGAACCGCTTACAGGGAACTGTGACATGCTGTTCAGACTCTACAGTGGGTGTAATTCTCTCCTTCACTCATGTCCGGGGAAAGGATTAGAGAGATAGCAGACTGGTGGGATTCAGTCAAAGGATTAAAAGACAAAACCCTACCACATCGCAGGTAGCAGTTATAAAATATTAAGCTAAGTCAAGGTTGTTTACCTGTTAAAATCTGAAACAGAGTATGTTGAGAAAGTATAACATAACCTGTGTGTGTGTGTGTGTGTGTGTGTGTGTATGTGTGTGTAGTGTGTGTGTGTGTAGTGTGTATGTGTGTGTTGCCCTTCTGTGGCAGGGCTCGGGGAAGAGTAGAGCTCTAGGCTTGGTCAGAGTCTAACCAATGCATATTGGGGTAAGAAACTTTTCCAAATGAATGCCAAGGACTCCAGTCCTGCTCCTGCCAAAGATTGGGGGACATATTCTTTATATGCCTGTCCCCCTGCTGAGCTGCTAGCAACTAGAGCCAAGCAAGAAACACACATTAAGCACCAACCATCCACCAGGCTCTGTGTCCTGAAAAATAAGAGTCTTCTTGTTCTGCTTATTACCAAAAGTTGCCTGATCTCCTGGACACTTTTCTTGCTAAGGGTAGGGAAAGAAATATGGGTCTTTTCCAGACAAACCTATTTTTAGACTTCCCATTTACACAAGGGTTTCACTTTCCCTTTTACACAAAGGTTTTACTTGTCCAGGCAGAGATTAAAAAAAAAAAAAAAAAAAAAACCCAATGTACTGCCACAGAGATGGACATGAAAAAGGATCAAAGAACTAGTGAGGAAACTCAATTGGCTTTGTGTTTACGTCCTAACACCAAAAGCAAAGCAAAGCAAAGCAAACCAACCAAAACCAAAAAAGCAATAACAAAAATAAACAAAAAACTCCAAACAAACAAAAAACCAGGCATGTGGCACAGGTCTTTAATCCCAGCACTAAGGAGGCAGATGCAGGCAGGTCCAAGTTCAAGATCTGGTCCACAAAGTGAGTTCCAGAGTCACACAGTGAGACCCTGCCTCAGATAAGCAAAAACTGGGGGAGGTTCCATCAGTTGCAATGGTTCCAGTGAAAGACAACAGAAGATGATTTCAAACTTACTTACCCCCCAGCCTTAACTGCTGCAGGTTGGTCTGATGGATGTTACTGGCCCTCAAGATCTGTTTACACCTGTTTTGTAAACAGCCCTAAGAGATACCTGATTGGCTGATTAAATGGCCTATACCTGGGCAGGGAAGATGGGGGAGGCGTGGCAGAGGTTCCCAGGCTTGGAGAGGACAGACAGACAGGAAGAGAGAAGAAAGGAGGATGCCAGGATGGGTCAGTGTGGAGAAAAAAAATCATGTGGGCCAAGAGGAAGGACTCCAACAATGGTGTGAAAAGGCCCAGAGGAAGAATACAAGCAAGTACCATAGGATTATGGATGGAAGGTAGCCCAGATGAGAATGACTACGGTGGATGGGACTGGATGGGGGCTGGGAGAAGGATGGTGAGGTTATTGAGCCAGCATAGGTGAAATGTCTGCCCTGCCTAAGGTGAGTAAGGCAGTTATAAAATCTAATGGCATCTGTGTCTTATTATTTGTAACAGCGGGTTAGATAATACCACTGTGATAATCATAGGGCTGATAATAAACATTATGTAGCCCAACACTCATTTATTTATTTACTACAACACTTAAACACAAGAATGAAATCAGATTTCTTCAGAAAAAATTTGAAATCCTTTATCTTTTTGTTTTAAAATGTCTCTGTGTGTGTGTGTTTGTGCACTTGGTGTGGAGGTGTATTTGGGGGACGTAAGATAATGTTAGATGTGTTAGGAAGGAGGGAGGGAGGGACTGGGAGGGAATGAGGGATCGGGACACGGCTGGGGTACAGAGTTAATAAAATGTAACTGATAAGAAAAAAATAAAATACAAAAAAAAACCTGATTAATATAAAAAATAAAAATTAAAAAAAAAGTTAGATGTGTTTATTTCTGTCCACCTAATATTTGTTTTGAGGCAGTCTCACTATGTACAGCTGGCTGTCTTGGGACTTGGGCTCTGAAGACGAAGACCAGGCTGAGGCCTGGACCTCACAGAGATCTTCTCCTTCTGCCTCCCAAGTACTGGCATTCAAGGCCTGCACCACCATGTCCCGAACCACCTTATTTCTTGAGGCAAAGTCTCTCAGTGAACCTGGAGCTCATGGTTCTGGCTTGACTAGCTGGCCAGTAAGCTCCAGGAATCCTGTCTCAACTCACCAGTGCTAAGTTTGTAAGTGCAGGCCATCACACCGGGCTTTGCCATGGATGATGAAGATCTGAGCTCATTTCTTCACACTTTGCGGACGGAGCCATTTCCCCAGCCCATGCCCTTTATATTTTGCTTTCCATGAAAGAGTAACACTCTAGAAATGACTGGCAAGAAGACTACTTAACATGAAAAAAAGATGTTACAAAGTTTTTCTAGAAAAAGGTTTAGGTCTGTACAAATACAGCCTCCTAACACACTTCTTTTGACACTGGAGAGATGACTTCCCTGCAGCTTCCTTATTCGATTCCTTTTGCTTTCAGCTCCTCCCTGACGCGTTTCAGGTAATCAGGATCGGGGTAACCAAACCTACGTGAAGAAAAGAAGAATCCCTTTAGGTTCCTCCCAGATAATTCTTAAGAATGTGTACACCAGCCAGGTATGTTGGCAGCCAGAGTCTGAGGCCAGCCTGGGCCACAGGGTGGGGCCCTGTCTCAAAACAACAACAAAGTCTATACATTTGATATTTGAGCCTCTAGCATTCTGGGTGGGTTCCAGCATTTTTAGGCGATCCAGACAGTGACTGATGTCTAGTCACTCAAGGGCCTGGCTAGCTGACCAGCATCTGTTTTCTGGCCAGATTGCTTAAATTCTTAACTTACTCTAAATACCGACACAGATAATGTTATGAAGGCCGTATTCTACCGAGGAGGTAGTACTCAGACTCTTGCAGGATTTTCAGATGGGGGATTTGAAAGGTCTCAGGATATATACATATATTTGGATGTCATAGTAGAAGAATTCTGAGTTTCATAAAGTACAATCAGATTTCCTGGAATATATCTCCTACCATCTTGGCACTCTTTATAACTAAAACTTTTTTTTGTTCTCATGTATGAGCCCTGTGAGTTCAACATCACTGGACTGATGGGAAGAGAGGGTTGAGGGAGAGTAAAATGACCTCAAAAGAAATCAAAGCAGTGCTGGAGAGATGACCCAGTGGCTAAGAGCATTGGCTGCTTTTGAAAGACCTGGGTTCAATTCCCAATACCTGCATGGCAGATCACAATTATCTGTAACTTCAGGGGATCTGACAGCCTTACACAGACAAACATACAGGAAAACCACTGATACCCATAAAAATAAGTAAATCTTTAAAAAAAGAAATCAAAGGCAAATAACATTCCTAGGATCTACCTTTGAAACAGCCATGAAACCCTAAATTAAATCAACTTGGATGCCATTTATCTTGGATTCTGAAACCCCTTTCTTTTGAAGCAAAGTTTAATAACCAAATCATACATATGAACCACAAAGGAGAAGGCTGGGGAAACCAATATTTTTGCCTTTGAAATTATCCTAATGATTTAGTAGTGTGTGCTGTCTAGTTTCATGTCAACTTGACACAAGATGGAGTCATCAGAGAGAAGATAACCGCAACTGAGAAACTGCCTCCTGGGGTGATGGTGGCGCACATATTTAATCCCAGCACTTGGGAGTTAGGGGCAGGCTGGCCTGCTCTACAGAGCGAGTTCCAGGACAGCCACAGTTACACAGAGAAACTGCCTCCCTAAGATGGGGCTGTTGGCAAGTCTGCAGGGCATTTTCTTAATTAGTGACTGATGAGGGAAGGGCCCAGCCCATTGTTAGTGAAGCCACCCTGGCGTGATGGTCCTGGATGCTAGAAGAAAGCAGGCTGAGCGAGCCATAAGCAGCACCCCTCCACAGCCTTTTGCATCAGCTCCTTCTTGGTTTGAGTTCCTGCTTTGCCTTCCCCTAGTGGACTGTGATTCAGGATATGCAAACCAAACAAACCCTTTCTTCCTGAAGTTGCTTTTGGGTCAGCACAGCAACGGTAACCCTAAGACATTGGGCTAGCGCCTACTGCTAGGATGTCTCTTTATACCCGCAGCCTCAAACTGCGGCATCTGACAACCTTTGTTCCACAACCGTTATCTTTCAAAAGACTCTTACCTTTCTGGTCCTCCAGACATGGATGTTTTGTGATGAATATCATTCCATGTAATGACATCTGAGAGGCCTAATGTTCGAGAGCACCCTATTGTGAAAATCAGCTTGTGGTCAAAGGCTTTTCGAAGCAGATCCAAAACCTTTCTTCCCTCCATATTATCAGGCAAGTACGCAGTGCGCTGTGTTCCAAAGTAAGACGTTCCTGGGTTCGGGTGCTCATTCTGTATGAAGAAAAGAAAATGTTTTACACACACACACACACACACACACACACACACACACACACACACACAC